GTCTGGTGGTGGTGATAGGTGATGGTAGTAGTGGTTTTTTTACTTATCGGTTACTTCTGAAAGAAAAGAAAATGGGACGTACATATTACGATGGTTTTGTGTCACGTGCAAAGGTGTTGCTTTTGGTAAATCGTATCACGTCCGTACAAGTAGTGAATCACTTGAATTTTTTTCCCCCTTTTCTCCAACCTCGTGCTCCCTTTGAATCCAGGCAAGAATCGAAGCGCCGTTGAAAACGCAGACGCAAGTCCCGCTGAGGATGAGAAGGAAAGGTGACCCTCGAACTGCGATTCCGGCGTCGATGGTAATTCCGATCCTCGCTTTATTTTTCTCACATGGTGTAAAGGTAGACAGTACAGTAAATAGTTAGATGATAAAGAATTTAATTTTAATTTTAGAATTGGCTAATTTTTAACATTATCCACAATTTACACTTCATCTTTACACCATGATCTTTTCAGTTATCAAGCTTTGCATGCGATAAATCGTTCTATTAACGCACAGGGCCTGAGAATTAACTAATAGAAAGTATGTAACATAACACGTTTGACGATATTTAGCATGTACACATTTTCTTATCTCTTCTCAACTGCTTGTAATTCGTCGTAGTTACATACTTCTACTAAGTTGTTTTAATTCTAATCGCAGGTTTATGTTCAGATTCAACGTGTGAAACGATGTTAATTAATTTTTGAAAATCATAATACTGTTATGAATGCACAGTTGCAATACCGTGTTTATTTTGTCTGCATATTATATCAATTCTTATAGCATCAAGTGGCATGATGTTTATTTCAAATCATAATTATATCGATACCAATGAGTATTCCTGTATTTTTCCAGACGACGAAGGAATAGCAGAATCAGGAATGTGATGTTCGAATCCTTCCTCACATTTGGGGATCGACGAAAAAACGGACACTCAAGAAGTGGATATTCTGGAAGTTTTTTAAAGTGGTGCAATGCGCAAGTGTTACGTTATCATGTTATCAACGAACGAGAAAGAAAGGATCGTCGGCTGAGTCAAAGAACGAATTTGACGAGAACGCTGTGATGATGATTCCTTTCACGCAGATATGTTTACGCGTTTTCTAAACCGGAAGGAAAAACTGGTTAGCTATTATCAAAGCATTGAAGTGATACGATATTAGTTTTCTTACTTGACAACTGTGAAAATTAAACGAAACTTCTTTGACGTGTGTGGAACATTTAAAATTGAGACGTGTACGTGATAGTAAAGATCACCGGGGACGTGTTGACAACAAATTTGTGTATTTGTCGACAATAATCACCAGTTTCCGTTGGAGGCTCATCGGGAAGACGGTGAAACCATAGACAGTAGCTATTGATATTATTGGATACTTCGACGAGTGACAGTCAAGTTTCAAACGATCAAACTGAATGAACAAGGAAAAATGGCATTCCTATCTTTTATACCACATAGACAAGATATTTTATCCTCATTCAATCATACTAGGTCACATTTACCTCCAGGGGATTGTAGAACCTTTAGTTTCGGAAAAGCCGGGAAGTTTGCTAAGGAGCAACTTTCCACGCAACTGGACTATTATTAAAAGAAACTCACAAACGACGATGAAGATTTTATCGAAATTTCAAGTTCAGGAAACAATTATGAGCAAAAGTGTTTCAGCAAGGAATTCTTGGGAATGAATTGGAATGGTAAAGCATTTTCTGTAACGCGTTTGGACGTTGCCGCGTGTAGATATAAGCCCCCAGCGTTCACGTTTTTCGATCTGATCAGGCGACGAATAAAAACAAAACTCGAATTTAACGTTCAACTATCGTGCAGTAGATAAGTCCAGATTGCATATCTTAAGGATTGTAAAATGCGTATCCCGCATTGAGTTGCCACAGTCGGTTCGCAACAAATCAACTTTTTCAGCAAAGAGAATAATTTTTTAAAGTATGTTTTATTTTTCTATTTTTTTATCAAATGGACATATTACCTCGTATATTTTACAACATTGATTTATTTAGTTATTAGTGAAAACGATTATCATGAAATTGTTAAAAGTTATCTTTTCTAATGATATTGTTTAATTTCATCATTTCCGATTGATTGTTAGCTTTCGATACTTGATGTTCACGAGAAAGAATTGTTGAGAATCCGAACTAAAGCTACGGACACCATTGTCATTTTGAATCACTATCGCGAGTGGCAACCATCCGTCCAAGGGCTGTAGTAGAGATGCCAATTAAATGTTAAAGCATTGCCTAGAATGAAAAAACGGGGGAATAAATAATAAGAATCGAGATGGGATAAGAACGAATTTTCTCACGGCCCTCTTTTTTCATGATAGGGAAGAATATGTCAGTGGGAACAAGAAACTCGCATCTACGTAGAAATCATATCACTTTTCATGAGAGTCACTCGACGGTACGTATTGTAAAAATACGTTATTCACTTATGGACATTGCGAACATCGGTGTAGAGAGCCGATTCGCATGGATCGTTCGCTTTTCGACATCGTTTTCAACGTTCTACCTACTTGCTGGTTCAGTATTAGCGGAAAACGCTGTGTGGAATGCAAACAATAAATCTGAACGACGAACTACGGACAAATTTTTTACTCACGAGCTTAATGAACAAAATTGATTAAACGGATGAGACGTTTTATGAGATGTTGAACGTTGAACGACGATACGTTTCGAACGAGTCGGAAGACCCAATCGCCGCTCTTCCGGTACTTAGTGACAAATGTTTCTCAACGTTACAAAAGACGTGTACTTAATTTTGTATTTGCGACGAGACGCAAGTAGAAGCGAACAATTTTAGGTGTTTAAGATAAACGGAATGTAAGGAGAGACAGATTGTTCTCAGCAGGGTCGAAACAAATTCTCTTTAATCCAAGGAACAAAGTGGAAGATACCTGTTGAAATGGATTGAAATTTTCACTGCCCATGTATTTTTGGAGAAACGTTTTTATATATCGCTTAAGTATTGTAGAGTCGTTCGTAAAACACGTGATCGTACCTACTTGTATTAGAACGTCCGGATGAATCGGTGCTTTTTATCGATCCGTTGATGTTTCATTAATAACGGTGTTCCCTTAACGGTAATGCAATTTATTTTATCACATTCCATTAAATCCTAAAAAAATTTAAGGATATTAAGGTTTTAATCTGCTCAAAAATTGTCAACGAATATTTTTATAATATTTCATTACAATCTTCGTCGATGTTAGCCAAGGGAAAATTGCCAATCGATTGCCAAACATAATAGAGCGTGTTTTACAGTGATAAGAACGGTTTAATTTATTTTCTGACTTCAGAAGTAAAATTTTCCAACGGATCGATAAGAAAAATAAGATCGACCGGGCAACTGCAGTTTCCAATCCATCGAACTTCTTTGCTATATACTATACTACGCTGTACATGTAGACTATATGTATGATATGGAACGTGTAATCAATGTTTCTCACGTAAATTGATAATAATTACGATTGTCACCGAGTCGTTCGAGATTTAGAAAATTGACGCGTTCTTAATTTCTTTATTTCTTCTATCATATCAATTTCTTCCTATTTCAGAAGAAACCAGAGCATTTCTCAATGTGCAGATCATTTTAATTGCCAGCAGGTAAATTATTTGTTTCATTTTCTCTTTTATTATAATTTTGATTTGCTTAGTTAATTTCTATCCTGTTAGACACTTCCACAAAATAAAATTCGATCAAATGTTTTAATCAGTATTGAAAAAATTTTTTTATACTTTTGTAAGTAACGCTTCCGTAAAACTTTTTCTAACGTTTTTCTTATAAAGTCATATATATTATGATAATAATCTAATGTCGATGTGATAAAGTCATGTTCACCTTGCGAATGCGAAACACGTTTCTTAATCTAATAATCATTACTTGTATTCAGGACATTAATTTCAGTTATCCAATTCTTTGCATCAGTGCATTTAAATATAAGAGTACGCGTATAAAACTGCAAATATTTGAATCAGATTCTTCGTTTTATATTTAACTCCAATTTAGTTAATTGCTTCGTAAAAATTATAAATTGTATGTTAAAAATAAATTGGCTATTGTATAATCTCTGCTGAAAATGTACTGCTTGTAGAGACGGTTGGTTACTATGATCGATAATTCTAAAGTGAATGTTGCGTGTTGCTTTCACCGATCAAGATTTCGCGCTTCGCCTGTTCCACTTGATGATTCACAAAACTTGGATCTCTCTCTATCTGTGTAATTATGCTTGCGTAGATATATCACGATCATATCAAGCTAATATACTAAATAATCTAAGAAATGTGTAACAAGGTCCCAAGTTAAGGCGTGTAATATTTTTCTGTAAAAAAATAAGATCGACCGGGCAACTGCAGTTTCCAATCCATCGAACTTCTTTGCTATATACTATACTACGCTGTACATGTAGACTATATGTATGATATGGAACGTGTAATCAATGTTTCTCACGTAAATTGATAATAATTACGATTGTCACCGAGTCGTTCGAGATTTAGAAAATTGACGCGTTCTTAATTTCTTTATTTCTTCTATCATATCAATTTCTTCCTATTTCAGAAGAAACCAGAGCATTTCTCAATGTGCAGATCATTTTAATTGCCAGCAGGTAAATTATTTGTTTCATTTTCTCTTTTATTATAATTTTGATTTGCTTAGTTAATTTCTATCCTGTTAGACACTTCCACAAAATAAAATTCGATCAAATGTTTTAATCAGTATTGAAAAAATTTTTTTATACTTTTGTAAGTAACGCTTCCGTAAAACTTTTTCTAACGTTTTTCTTATAAAGTCATATATATTATGATAATAATCTAATGTCGATGTGATAAAGTCATGTTCACCTTGCGAATGCGAAACACGTTTCTTAATCTAATAATCATTACTTGTATTCAGGACATTAATTTCAGTTATCCAATTCTTTGCATCAGTGCATTTAAATATAAGAGTACGCGTATAAAACTGCAAATATTTGAATCAGATTCTTCGTTTTATATTTAACTCCAATTTAGTTAATTGCTTCGTAAAAATTATAAATTGTATGTTAAAAATAAATTGGCTATTGTATAATCTCTGCTGAAAATGTACTGCTTGTAGAGACGGTTGGTTACTATGATCGATAATTCTAAAGTGAATGTTGCGTGTTGCTTTCACCGATCAAGATTTCGCGCTTCGCCTGTTCCACTTGATGATTCACAAAACTTGGATCTCTCTCTATCTGTGTAATTATGCTTGCGTAGATATATCACGATCATATCAAGCTAATATACTAAATAATCTAAGAAATGTGTAACAAGGTCCCAAGTTAAGGCGTGTAATATTTTTCTGTAAAGCAGCTTCTCATCGGAACGAAATGTAACGCAAATCGTGCTTACAATTGCAGAAGAAATTTTGTTAACAAGCTTTAGATTAGGTAGAACTAGTGATTACAGTCATCGCTTTAAAAGAGTTGTAATCGAAAGATACTAGCAAAACAATTAAATCTGCAATTAGGTTCCTTGAAAAAATTTCATACACGATAAATCCCTCTTAAACAGATGATCGTAACTGTACGAAAATTGGTGCACGATTTTACCAGCTGAACAATGATAATGAATAACAGGGCTGAAACATCCATAATTATAAACAATTCATGTACATTGTTTTTAGCCAAGACGTTTTTCACAATCTCTACGAGATTTACTGTTAAGATGATTTTAATGCGAAAATTGCGTTGTCATTAGTCAATGACGATACGTTGTAACTCTGTGATAAATCATGCGATGCTCGAAGCCGAGTATGCGAAATTCGATGCGATGAAAACGGTCTTTTGGTATACACACACATACACAAACACACACGGGTGATTAATTAATTTTTGATTATCGGTTCGTGCCAATTAACTATAATGCATATACCTATACACCTTTTAGCCGAGGGGCAGAAATGAGCGGCGCATAAACATCACGATGCAATTGTATGATAAATGAATCTAATCATTTTAATTAATTACATAAAAAGAGATTGCGCGTGCGATAACGCAACGTGCAGCTTGCATTGTACATAATTATTAACTAAGAAGATATGTATATGTACGTTTATATTTTTCAAATACATGCGCACAGGTCGTAGCTCCGTTAAATTACTATGAGATGCGATCGAGATCTGCGATAAGCCTACAAATTCGTATTACTGTTATCCGATATTATTTATTTTCTACTATTTATTTAAAACCATTATATTTATAATGAAAGAAAATTTGTATTATCGTAACGCGTGACATTTTATTTCGATGTCAAACAAAATTATGATGAAGTAAACTCGCAGGTTTCCATTGAGCATCCCATAGCATTCATGAAGAAGGGCAACAACGGTGAGATTTAGTATACATACGTGTGCGACAAGAAAATCATCCATGTATACCATACGTAAGCTTACGGTTTTTCTTTTGTAAATAAATTAATAATTAATTTTTTACCACGCTGTGAAGAGCAGCCGCCTGAACGGAATGATTTTGCGATTCGTAGAATTATCTCCGGGACGCTTTTGTTGTAAAACTAATCGTAAACAGAAAAATGTGTTAACCTGTATCGAGAAAATTGTACAGCGTGCAAAGCACGAAGAGACACAGGTTGTCTCAAAAAAAAAAAAAAATAAGAAGAAAGACGAAATATGCGTATTATAATAAACATGGTTCTTCCAATAAAAATGCGTTCGATCTTTTCATCTTTATTTTAGCGTTATAAGAATTTTGTACCTTCTCTTTATATTTGAATGATTCTACGTTACTTTATAGAACACTGATCTTCAATAAGGCGGAACACAAACGTCGTTCAAGATTTTTATTCCCCCTTAGTACGCTTTTATAGGATTACGCAAACATCCGCGTTCTCTCCGCTATTTTCAACGCGCGCCGTATTTGCCTCATCGTGCGTTCGGTTTTATCTGAAAGAAGACGAGAAACGACTTTACGATAAATGAACAATTAATTCTCATTTCAATGATTAACGTCACTCCTACGCTGAGACAATGGAATTTCAAGGTAATCTGATTTACTTTAATGAAAGAGTAAATACAGAAATCGTTGTTGCAGTAACGAGATGGGGAATGGTTAAAAAATTGATCGGCAATTACTATGCTTTTTATTAAGTGCCAGCGAATGAAAGGGGGCGGCGTTTTATAGCGAGTATTCGAACACGGTCGATTTCTGAGGCGATCCCGCGGCGAGCTGCTCCTGCGGCGGCGAGGAAGACGTTGGCACCGGTGGATTAGGCGCCCTCGTGTTCAGTGGCACCTTCGGCGGTAACGAGGAACCCGTTTTGTTGTTCCTCGTTTTTAAATTCGGCTCGAGCGACGAGTTCCCGCTTTGGGGACGTCCTAAATATTCCAAACGCGAATATCATATAGTACGTTGCTGATCAATCGCCATTAAGCAGAAACAGTCACTGTCATTTAATAGTAATATGGAATAGTAGCGTAATGAAAATGAACGAGGCTCAGCAAATTAAAGAATAATGATGAAGTGTTGGTATTCTAGAATACATTTCATGTTTCTGTTTTGAATAAGAAAGTTGCTTCATCATCAAACTTTCAGTGATCATAGATCGGAACGCGTTAAGCGAATTCTAATTTCTTCACTTTCCTCTCAACTGGTTCAGCATTCTTGAGAAAATCCCTGGCGTGTTGTCCTCAGCGTTCTTTTTGTCCTCGTTGTCGTCGTTATTGGGATGCCGACGCAGAATGCGGCTCAGGGAACCCGCACGCGGATGGAAAAGTTTCTTCGGCGAACCATCTTTGTCTACTAACTTTAGCATTCTGCCTAAAGAGTTGCTCTTCTCCTTTTTCGTTACTTCTTCGTTGCAATTTTCCATAGATTTAATCGGATTCTGGCAGCAAAATTTAAAAATGATTATACTACAAATATGTATACTCTTTGATAGTGCATATATTATTAAGAACGGCTGGGATCAAAGTAGCGATATCAGTTTTTATAGATTTCTCGGGAATCAATAAAACGTTTTGGTCCTGTTAGTATACATATAGAATATCTCCGCGATGGACCAAGTTTTAGGAACCGTCTGAAAGAAGTCGAGTGCTTTCTACTTTCAGCCACACCTCCGCAGTCCTTTTCAAGTATTGTATTGACCTGGCTGCGAGAGTGTTACTTTAATTTTCGTTGGAAATCGCGTAAGGCTAAGAACATTGAAACGGGGTAAGGATTCAATAACCGGCTGCTAAATCCTATCGCGACTTTTGAAAAGTTTGTTTGCCGTCGCGAAAGACACGTATAGAAAAGAAAATGTAACGAATGATAAGGTTTCAGCATTGACAAGACTTTTCCATTGAACGTGCATCGGTGATGATACATAATGCGAAAGTGTTTACAATATCAACGTCGATATCCCGGGACGTTTTATCAGCGACGGGTGTCTGGGAGCGTTGCTTAAACATCCTCCCCATTCTGTTCAACGTGGCTGTCTTCAATTTTCTGGCATCCTGTCGAACGGTTTCGGCCCTCGAAAGTCGTTGAGTCAACTCCGCGGGTCCGTCGTCCTTTCTCGAAGTTTCTTTGTCACCGTGCGAGCCTAAAGTGAAGAATTGTTAGAGGCTTAGATTGATTTTTGAAGAGTTACCCAGCTCTCTCTGCCCCGTTCGAATAAACGAATATAAAATAAATATTAGAGAAGTTAGTTTTTGAAATATAAATTGATGAACAAAAAATCGTGATTCAAATATATTTCGTTGAAAATTTAGTTCATGTGACAGTATTGAGAATTTAGAAAGTTATTACGGTATAAATAAAGAATGAATAGGAAAACTGTATTCAGTGTAATTTATAAGGTTCCCTGTTATGAATAATGTAGCACCGAGAGAGGTAATAAAAATATGTTAACAGAGATTCTTTCTCTCCGTCGAGCACCGAGGCTTCATACGTTGCACAATATTTGATAAAAAGTTTCCAAACGAACGAAATATGAGATAACTCAATAACTAGTTCCGCTCACGCCGCTGCCAGACCGTATAAACTTTACGATTTTTTACACGAACTTGTACAAGTTTTTACGCAAAATCGTAAAAGTTTATGTCATTTTTAGAAGACGTTATTTTCGGAGAAACGTTGATAAATGTTATTCTAAATTATCCTCTTTAAATCGTACGATCACTGCTTAGATTAAAATTCATCAGATTTCCTCTGATGTTTTATACATCACACAATTCACTGCATATTAATACTTGAAATCTACCACCTAATATTTAATCGTCAATCGTGAAAATTTAGTATCAGTTTTGTTATTTAAATAGCTATCGTAAATAATTCAATCGTTTCGAGAAAAAAGTCGCTTTGCTTCTCAAACCTTATCTAACAAAATTTAGCCCGCTTCTATTTTAAATTTCACAGAAATAAAGTAGACGCTCCCCGAGGTAGGTTCGGCAATTTAGAACTTTTTCTCTTTACTCTCAGGTAGCAAACGAAATCGTTCCTTTCTTTATTTTTTCCCCGAAAATCACGCATGTTATTTTTGCATCGGGCGACAGTAATTCGTTACGAAATCGTGCCATACCGAGGTGAATTAGTTGACTTACTGGATGTAGCGTGCAACGCAATCGTCTGTGAATCCCTAATTGCTTCCTGTTGCACGGTAGGGCGATTCGTAGAGCTCTGAGATTCGACGAAACGAGTTGCTCCCGATCCAGCCTGCTAAATTGAAGTTCCATATAGAGATCCGAGGATTTTGGAATTGAGAATGTTATCTTTTATTCGCAACCATCATACGATGAATGCAGCGTTCAGTGTATATGTATATATTGTTTAGAGTATTTCATAAATCTCTTTGCGTATAAAACGATCTTTCATGAAAGTCGGAATTGGTTTCGGTATTATGTTACGGTATACAGCTGCATGAATTTTAATTTTTTGAGTCAGCAAATATACAACGTGTGTCTGAGCGTAATATTTATACAAAATAGTTGAGAACAAAAATTAGAATACAAAAACTGACATTTCTAAATCATATGTAAAATGCAATTAAGAAATTTTCACAATCTAAATCTTTTTAAGAGAAACTCGATGTCAACATTGTCTATTTTTCTACCTTGATTAAATGAATTTTAATTAATATCCTGTAAGCAGAAATATATATTTAAATTTTAAGTTATTGGTAGACTTAGGCGTAAGCTGCAAACAGGGTGAGATGAGACTCGCTTGCTGTCTCCAAATTAATCCATCGACGTACATTTTATAGGAAGACGACAGAGGAGAAAGTAAGTATAGACTTAAGAGACAAATATGATAACTTACAGATTTCTGCGTTTTAACGCCCTTTTTTGAGCTCTCGTCCATTTTTTAAATAGAGTTGACCGATCCTGTTTAATTTCACGTTTTTACGATTCTCTTCACCAATGAACAGAACGCGAAACCGTAAAAGAAACGCAGGCAGGAAGTCGCGTCCGATAACTATATGTAATCTTGGTCCTTCGTTTCCTGGCGAACGTCGGTCATCCCTTGACGGAAATTCGTCGACTTTCGACTTCGACCTCGGGACTTTCCCCTCTCAATGCTTAAACATTCGTGAACGGACAAGAATTAGCCTTCTAATTTCCTCCAGCGGTGATCGGGGGCTAATGTAACATGCAGGCTGGAGAACTTTGCGTTACTGTGACCGGCGATCGTCTCACGACATACTACCGGCGAAGATGAGAATTTTACCTCGTTAAAATTGACGTTCGAGCGTTTTCTCTTTCCCTGTTCCTGGTTAGCAATGGCGGAGTGACTGTTCGTTGTTTCCGCGAGCTGCAAATCCGTAGACGGCATTGAATATTACATTAAGCCCGTTCCACGTGAAATATTTCCCCGTGGCTTGCTTTTTCGCCACACATTTACACTATTGCTTCCCTCATGCTTATTAATTAATACATTGTTATACTTTATAATGGGGCTTCGTTAGCATTCATTTAGAAATTTAAGACACTGTATAATATGTACCTGTTTAAAAATTAATAAAAAGATCTTTAGATTACAATAAAGAATTTACATTATCCTCGAGATTTCTTAGTTACCCTGCATTTAACATTTTTTTATGTACTCGTCTATAAAATCTCAGTTTGCTCCTTTTAGAATAATTTTCAACAAGAGAAGGATGTAAAATTCAATGATGCGTTCATTATAATGTAATTAATACGAGTATTATTTATAATGACTGGCCACCGTGAATAATAAAATTAAGCACTGAATATTAATAATTTTACGTTGTTGTTCATCGAACGGATAATATGAATATTGTTTTCATCTGAACAGGCAAAATTATAATATTGATATTTTTTTTTAAATAATACATCACATCGCACAAACGTGAGATTTCCTG